AGAGAAGAGAAGAGAAGAGAAGAGAAGAGAAGAGAAGAGAAGAGAAGAGAAGAGAAGAGAAGAGAAGAGAAGAGAAGATGAAGAAGGTGGGAAGACGAGTATGAAAGAAAGAGAGAGAGAGAGAGAGAGAGAGAGAGAGAGAAAGAAAAAAATCGAGATGGATATACATATTATACGCGTGTGGAGGTGCAGTCAGAGAGAGAGAAAGAGAGAGAGAGAGAGAAAGAGAGAGGGGTGGGCAGGACCCATTAGGCTAATCCCTCGTCGGCGGCCGAAGCCAAAGGAACGGAATAAGAAGGAATAAGAAAGCCACAGGCTACGTGTCATTCCTGCTCGGCCTGCCGACACCTATACCCTGGACCCGACACCTTCGACCGAGCTACGAGTATATCCGTTCAGAGGTGCTCTCTATCACTAATGTCCTTCTCTTAAGAATTAACTATTCGCGAGTTGATTGCGTTTATTTGATTACCTGACACACCTTTTTCCCCCATACCTTACTTTCAACGTAACCAAGAATAAAGAACTACCACCCTAAAATGATCTTCTTTTATGATCCATTAATAGCTCCTCTTAGAATTGAGATTTCATATTTTACTTGTCTTTATTCATTTTTTTTTACGATTTATTTTATTAGATTTTTACCAACCAATGTTTTTGACGATTCAATTAAGAATTTATTTTGTTTAATTAATTCGATATTAAAATTGTATATAAAACGTGATACGAGCAAATCGATAAAACACAATAATTTCAAGATTATTTAAGGAGTCATGAATAATTAACCACATTCGAGACGATAAATATCTGTAATTGAGGGTTACGACACGAAACTCGTGCGAGGTTTCCTTCGTGGATAATATCCTACTACTTGGAATTAAACGCTATTTACACCTGCTTCTCCACATGCGAAATTTTCATTAAAATTCATTAAACGTTATCGTAAGCATAAAAGAAATTTAATTTTATCCCAGTGATTTTTTTTTCTCCCCGAAAGTTTTTAACAAATCACAAATCCTGATAAAATATTAGGAATTGATTGTAATAATTTTTAGATTTATGATTAATATCAAAATAGAATTTGATTTAAAAGATTAGAACAATTATTAGAGATCTCCGAGTGAATGAAAAAGGGGTGGAGGATGAGATAAGGAAGGAGAGGGAGGGGGAGGTTAATTAATAAACGAGAAGAAACGATTAATCGTTGAATTAAAAGAGAGATTGTTGGTTGATTCTCTGGGTGCCCGAGATGAGCGCCACTGTCGACGTGTGGCAGGCGGTTCGTTTGATCTCCGCGGGACCCTCGCGGGGACTCGAGGCCCCGGGCTCTGCTCTCTCTTCGCTCTTGGCCCTCGACTCTCTTTCCTCGCATTCCCTGTTCCTCCCTTCGATCCTCCTCTTCCTCCTCCTACTCTTTTTTCGACCACACCAACATCCTCGTCGAATTAACTTTTAAGACTTTGGGACACCTGTACTCACTAATTCTTTCATGTCCAACGCCACCACCGATCGTGATACTCACGAATTCTTACAATCTTTTTTTTCAGAGTAAATGAATGAGAGTGTGTGTGAGAGAGAGAAACAGATAGAGAAAAACTTTGTTTTGTCCTCAATAAATTAGATACTCGCTAATTATTGACAAAGAAATTCGCATGTGTGTCTACCTGTCCTCGTTAAAAGACGAACGAATTAAAAAAGAACTAGAAAAAAGTAAGTATAAAAGTGTCGAGGTAAGACAAGAGTAAGAAATAAATAAAGAAAGAAGGATAGAAAGAGAAATGAAGAAGTCAAGAAAGAAGAAGAAGAAGAAGAAGAAAAGGATACTCGCGGCCGTCGTCGGGAAGGCCAAGCAAAAAGGAAGTACGTATTTCAATCTGTTCTTTAAATTTAACGCTCGGGGTATTTCCCCCCTCCCCCTCCCGAGTTAAATCAATAATGAGGCTTGAAAGTACTACAGCAAGCAAAAACTAATGACAGTTTTCACGAGCAATTTGTGAACGTTCGGCAAACACTTTTGCTGTGCGAAAAAGTGGGGCAAGAAAGTTTGATGGAGTTGCGAAAGAACGAAGAAAAGAATGAGAAATGAAATAAAGAAAAAGAAATGTTAGTAGTACTTATACCTATGAAAGACGAGGAGCAAGGAAGAGAGGATATATGAAGGATGAAGAAAAAATTTGTTAAAAGAGGATCGCAAAAGGACGCAATGAATAAAAATAAAAAGAACGAGAAGAAGAAGAAGTAAAAGAACGTACGAGGAAAGAAGACAGGAAGAAGTGGAAGAAGCAGAAAAGGGATAATGCGTGCCCCGTAAGATATTGACACTCCTGTAATCCGTTTGTCGGACGTGTGGGCAACCTGGCTAATCCTGCTCACGCCCACCGGAGATTAAATCCTGCTGGTCTGCCCTGCTCATTCGGACTAACTCGGCCTATCCGACAGTGGACCGGACTTAAAGCGCTGTACACACGCTCGCGTACGTCAAACTCGCTTCTTTCGTAGCAGGAGGTTAAAAGCTTCCGACGCTGACCGACGAGATGATAGAACGAAACGTTCGACTTCTTGCCTTATTCATCCCTTTTTCTTTTTCGTTTTCTCATTCCTTTTATTTGTTTGTTCTTTTCTTTAATTCGTGTATCAAGATATTATTCCTTATTCTATACTCCATTCGTATAAATTAGGAAAATGAATATTACCCTTATAGTACATATTGGAAATCTAATCTTTCAAAATAACTATATTGAAATTGAATAATTTTATGTGTTAGCAAAACGAAAGGAAAAATAAAGATTTATTTTAAATTCGTATCGATGTTTCAATCTTTGGATTACCTGGGCAAATTATTTGACATAGCGTTTCAGGAATTACTCTATACGATAGTTTTCTTACAAATTGTTGAATAAATTAAATGATTCATATCCTTATGTACTATATCCCTTTATTTTAATAGTTGAAATTTAGTTGAATCTTAAAACTCACGATAAATACGGGTATAAAGTCGTGAATACCAAGTCGGATTGGTTGTGCATTTGGACACAAAACGAAATGCGTCGTAGAAGTACCACGGCGATCAAGATCAATGGTGATCGCGGGGATGAAAGAGAAATGTAGTACTTAAGTGCTACTCACTGCCTCCCAATATGCCGTCTATCGTGTAATCCTTCTTCCCGTCTTCCCCCGGTCGTCCACCTCGAAGTAGCCTGCTGATGGAGCTGACGCTAGGTGGATCTGAGAAGCCTTCCTGCGTGCAATAAAATAAAAGCACGGGGCCTTTTTGAAAGAGGTAAGATTAAAGCAAGTAGGACCTATGAGAAGAGTATCGTTCCTTATGACTTTCCTTTTTCATTTATTATTATTATTATCATTATTATTATTATTATTATTATTTTTTTTTTTTTTATTTAAAAGCTGGTTTCTTTTTTTTTAGATAGAAAGAGAAAGAGAGTGGATTGAAAACGGGCGTGAAAGCCTAACCCGTGTTGTTCTCTCGTGAACAACGCTGTACGAAGGCCGTGCTCGCAGTTTCGCAACTGCAGCTTTACCAAGCCGTACAATTTCGCGCGATTATTTTCGTTCGCAACGTAGGTACACATTTTCTTGGACGATTCAACGTTATTACGCATTGTATAAGCTAGCTAGGCACCGTTACGCGCCTTTGCTATGCTCGCTCGCTTGCTCGCTCGCTTTCTTGCTTCATGATCGGCCAAACTCCGTAGGTAGGTATGTAATGTTGAAGAAATTGAAAGGAATCGCTTGACACAAAAGCGTGTTATGAAAAAGAGAGCGTTAGAGATATAGAGAAAGAAAGAGAGAGAGTAAGAATATAAGATGTAGATAGGGAAAGAAAATTTCTACACCGAGATCAATTCGATAGAATATATCTAATGGATAATAAATTCTAGAATGAAGATCACGTATCGAGATCTTTATCGATATATTTATATATATGTATATACTCTTTTATATCTAAAGGATACCTCGAGAAGTTGCGAAAATTTCATCGATCGATATCGATCGAGCTTCTTATCTTTCGTATCGATCATACAAAGCGTAACGCACGTGCATGCGAAAGAAGATGCGGGATAGAGATGTAGCGAAAAAGAAAAAGATGGGAAGATCATAGAAGAGAAGGAAGAAGAAGAAGAAGAAGAAGAAGAAGAAGAAGAAGAAGAAGAAGATTATATAAAAAAAAGGTTATATCTCTCGCTTTAACCGAGGATTTAAAAGGCAAAAAAAGTGAAGGTGGAGGGTAGAAGTGGTGGTGGGGGTTGAGGAAATGGGGGTCGTTCGGTGTCGATCGCTATCTCTCGCTTCGCCGATCTCAGAAACAATAACGATCCTTCTGCCGGTGGTGGTCGATGCTTTGGGTCCGGGGTGATGACAGGAAAGAAGAAGGAAGGAAGGATTGTGGGTGAGGTGGATGATTTCAAGGAGGAAGAAGGATGGATGGCCTTACGTTGGATAAAGAGAGGAAGAGTAAAGGAAGAGAGGAAGAAGGAAGAGTGTGCCTCAGGGCCTCAGGCCCCGGAACGCCCCCTTCCAGCATTAAATGCCGTATTAATGCCGGCAACGACCGCCTGCCTCTACAGAGGCGTACGTGTTCCTAAAATTGTTCTCAGTCTTTTCATATTCTTTCTTCTTTATATACAATATTTCTCTCTCTCTCTCTCTTTTTCTCTCGCTGTTTTTCTTTAGTTCTTTCCATCCTTTATAAACTTATCTCTCTCGTTTCTTCCGTCAGATTTATATCTTTATCAAAGAAAAATTAGATATGATCGATGATATTATCTAGAAAAGTTTGTTAAGTTATTATAAAAACGATATGTTGATTACTTTTAATTGGATTTTGTATTATCAATTAGAGTATACATACATGCGTTTGTTATCTTTCTTTTATTATTCATGTCAAAATTTTGTAATATTGTTAGAAGGAAGGAATAAATATTATCGATAAATATTTGTACATATGAATAAGTATTGAAATGTGAATAAAATATATAGAAAATTGAACTTTTTTTTTTTCAAATAAACGTGAGAAACTATTGATCTATCGATTTCTATTATATTTAGTAAGGATATCTTAGGCACGTGAAATTATGCCTGATAAATTGCGAAAGAGGTAAGACAACTAGGACGAGAAGAAGAAGAAGAGGAAGAAGAAGAAGAAGGAAGACGACGACAACGAAGAGGAGGACGAAAGGTATTACGCCAATGAAGTGTGGGTGTAGGCGGCGAGCAGTAACGTATTAAAGGACACGCGAGTCGCCTCGAGGTACTCACGTACTTACATACGTAGAAGAGAGCCCTACTCGGCTGGTGCACGCCTCGTGCACGCCTCGCGTACGCCTCGTGCGCAACATTAAAAACTTCCATTGAGAGTGATCTTTGAAGTGAGATAAGGACCATGATCGAACGTTTTCTCGAGTCTTTTGATTTTCATGAAAATATTTCTTACCTCTTTTTTTTATTTGTAGTTTTAATATATAAAGTTTCTTAACAACGTATATATATGAAAAGGATTTTGATTTCAATCTCAAATCACATTGAAAAATAATGAAAGTTTCAATTAAAAAAATCTGAAGAATATTTTTGGGAGCAACTCTTGCCATGATTTTAAATATTATATACGAAGTTAAATCGATTATGATAAGTTAAATTCTTTACCTTGACCAATTTGTCACGTATCTCCCAAGAAAAGATACCAGGATTGTTACTCTTCAATTCTTCGATCTTAGCTTCGACTTCCGGCGTGGCAACTCTCGGTTTACTGCCACCAATGACACCTGGCCTGATAGACCCTGTCTCTTGATAACGATTGAGTATTTTCGAAACGCAACCGTGGGAAACACGAAGTTGTCTTGATATTACGCAGGGTCGTACACCAGAGGCCGCCATTTCAACGATTTTCAAGCGAATGTGATTTGGTAGGGGACGTCCGTTGATGAAGACACCGCCCAGCTGATTCATTCGGCCTTGCCCTGTAAACATTCGATCGATGTTTCAACGATACATACCTATATGAAAAAACGAGAAGAAGGAAGAAAAAGAAAGGAGGTAGAGGAAGACGAAAAGACATGTGCTCGAATCGCTTGCGACTCGATAAGCTTGAAATTATTTACGGAATCCGTCGAGCGAACACGTGAAATCGGTTAACAGCCGGTAAGAGGCCGGCATATACGTTAGCGCGGAGGATACCAAAAGCCACGTTAACAGCCGTAAAATTGAAGAAGTTATGCTCACGAGAGGGCGTGCTCGGCCATTTCCAGGACTAACGAGTATAAAGTTGGATCGTTAGTCGAATTAGCCACCCTTCCGTACGTGACATTAGCTATCTGTATCATCAGTCGCGTTCCGATGTACAGCACGAGGTAATTACTATGTTTACGCATCACGAAGGCTCGCCCGGCCTGTTGTCCGAGTAAACAACGAAAGCATCCAATTATTTTAATCGTCGCTCTGAGTGCCTTTGCATATTCAATAAAGTCCACACGAGTTTAACCGCGTTCTCTTTTCTATTTTTATTTTCTTTTTGTTTCTTTTTTTGTGTAACTTATTATTTCTTTTTTTTAAGTTTTATTTTTACATTTAGACGATCTTCTTTTCGACTTTAACGAAAATAAAAACGTTACTCGAATGTTAATGGATAGCGAAATAAGGTGACATTAGGCTAACCTTGGAAGGGATATCCACTATAGATAGGTCTCATTCTACTGGTAACATCCATCTTGTATTGAAGCTTCTATAATTGTCCTTGCATCCAACGTAGGTAATGTCCAAATGATTATACACGTAGTCACTGACACTGATACAGTATAAACAAAACGATCGAATGACAATACGACCGATTAATCAGACGCGAATTATTGGTCCGAGGCTAAAAAGATTCTTTGATTTAATTGCACTCTTCTTGAGTTATAACAAAAATAAACTACGAAGAAACTGTTAAAAAGTTATACAGAATTAATTGTAAAACGCTCTATCGCGAATATTGTCGAATCGACGGAATATTATATTCTTGATGTAAAACGTACTGAGATGACGTAGGAAGAAAGAAGAGAAAAGGAATAGAAGCGAGCACGCGTGGCTTTCGTTGCGAGGGGTACCACGGCAATAACGTGTTAGGAGTTGGGGTACTGGACCCCTCTTCACCCCACTCTCTTTAACATGCTGGCTGGACCCGAGAGAACAGAGTGCGAGCAACATAAGAGAAAAATGAGACCGTTGCCTCGTTGGGACTTATGGTACCAGAGTAGTACGCTCATTGGCTACGCCCTGCCACGTGGTTGGTAAAGCTGGACCTTACAATGGGCGGTTCTACCCACGGAACCGCCTACGGAACGTGCTATCTTACCCACGTATTCCACAATATATATTATCCTTCTCTGTATGTTTCATGTAAATATATACATTCCCAGATCGAATACCTTTTGATGTCTCTTGAGAGTTCAATTCTAAATGCTATTTTCATATAATCCTATGCAAAGATATTTTCTATACCTACTAATTTGATTTAAGATTTTATCTATTCTTAGTTGGATATATCTGGATACTTACTTACTTACCTACTTATTTCTTTGCTTTAACTTTGCTAAGAGGATCTAGTTATGTAACTAATGAATTTTTCTTACGATTCAATATGAGTTTGGTGAAACAAATTTTTATTGATGTTCGAATGATTTATTTGTTCTATTGTGGTGTTATCAATGTCCATAATTTCCTTGTAAGGATCTACCAAATTGTCAAATTATTGTTTAACCGAGAATTGTTGATTGTAAAAGAAGATGTTTCTAATGAAATGTCGGTTATTCGGTATTCTGCTTGAAGTTGACTAACGTGTAAATGAAAAAAAAATGAGAGAAAATTTACAGCCATCGCTGTTTAAAAAGTTAAATCATAATGAACGTATGATTGACTGATATAAATTTTTTCAAAGGTACAACTCGCTCGTCTTCCCTTAATAATCATGCCCATGTGGCTTGTAAATCTTTTCATACGGTAGCGAAAAGTTGGTTGGCTGACTGTGGAAGCAGCAGGAGGTCTTCAGGACCGTATATGTTCGAAGTCAAGAGTTTTTTAAGGACTCTTAAACCAATCCTATCGATCCTGAACCTTGTCAAATAAATCGTGAAATTAGAAGTTTAACAACACTTCATTCTAAATACATAAGTATATTTTTTGTTTTATACATTGATTATTTTTGAGATTAGTTGTAAGTTGTGTTTAGGATCAATGGGTTGGATCTGACAAATTTTTGTGAATCCTTCGAGTAATACGAAGAGAAGAATACTTTTGGACACGTAGTAGGTGGCCATAAACATTTTATTTATTGCTTTGCCTTGTTAGTTAGAATACCTTCGTATAAAGACTTAAATTTTATTGCGACGAAGTACTTGGATATTACAAAAGAAAGATAAAAAGGTCACTAGACAAGAATTGATCTTCGTAATAAACACAATTCGACGAATGATGTTCTTCTAAAGTTAACTTTTGTGTGAAAAAAAATGAAATCGAAGCCCCTATTATTAAGAAGGAAAAAAAAAACAAAAAATGATTCTTAAAGAAGAAATTTAAGAGGAAGGTCAAGAAAGAGAATAGAAGGAATTTGACGGTTTGGTTGGAGAAATCGTAGCTTGTTGGGAAAATAAAAAATTGTATTTGCTTTCAAATCCATGAGATTATCTCCGCAGTTCCATGATAGACAAAAACGAGTCACTCAATATTTTTACCACGTTTTCTCCAAGATATATTCAATTCACCGGAAATTCTTTGCTTTTGAAAATGTAACCCCCCTGGGGCTATTAAATGACAAGGGTCCTGACTCCTGACTCTTCCAATGTTCTTACTGTTTCCGAGTAAAAAGAAGAAGAAAAGAAATAACATCAGTAGCCTTCGTCAAGGTCATTCGAATAAAAAGAAGATCTCAAAATTGAACCGAAGGAAAAATACAATGGTAACTGGTTGGATAGTACACGCTTTAATGCGTAATAAATTGATTAGTCTATTATTATTGACTTCTTTAGAACTTTTATTACGGAATACTTTTTCATCCTTCGAATAAAATGTTTTCAGAGATCACCAAATTGAGTATTACCACGACGAAAATCGAAGGATGATCAATTTGATCATCTATAAATTATTATTTTATTTTACCATTTTATTTACTCATTGTTAAAATTCGTGTGCAAGTAATATTTATTATCGTTTTTTTTCTCTTTTTTTTTCAATCTCTCTGAAGATTATTGTTAACTGTAACGGAAGTATAAAAAAGAGGAAATAGAAGTGGATGAAAACGAAAGAGGTTGTAGTAGACAGTGTGGCGAGAGAGGACAACATAATGATCAAAAATACTTGATGAGCAGTTCGCATGTAGGTTCCAGTAAAAAGAAGAAAAAGAAAAGTAAAAAAATAACACAAGAAGGAAACAAAGAGTGGACGCGGGTTGGTAAAGGGAAACTGGACGAAGCATTTAGGAGTTCCTTGCGGCGTTCTGTTGCTGCTGTGGTACCCAATTCGAGGGCAGTTCGCCCACTAAACGGGCACATTAAAAATTCTAATGGAGCCACGCATATCCCAAGTTTCTCACCTAGTTTAACATAACAACGACAGGGGCTCAGTTAGAAAAAGAAAAAGATAGATAG